GGAACCAGAGTCTCACTTGGCGATCTGTGAGTGATTTTTTAAAAAGTTTTTTATATCATGAGTTTAACTGGGCCTCTGCCTACGAGGTTGATTGATTTTCATGAAGTTGATGTGTCACGTCTTAATAAAAATACTACAACAGTGAGTGAAACACTTGCACTTGATAAAGATACAGTATTTTTCAGGCTGTAAGTGCATCTGCTGTATGTAACAGTTATGTTTGCCCATATGATTTTAAATCTTTCATGACCTGAAAGCCATTTGTACATGTATAATGAAATGAATAATATTTTTCTAAATATAAGTTAATGTAATTTTACAGAATTTGTCCAAACTGGCAATATTGCACTGAGAATTTTTGTCTGTTTCAGTTTTTTTGTGCAATGTCAGCTACATACACCCTGAATTTTTTCCGCTCTGGTGTTGACTCAAATCAGTGGGGATACTTCTTCCTGCCGGGACTGGTCAACTTTGGGGTTTTTAAGGTAGACATTGGTTATTTTACCTTTAAATATTATTTGACTGCCTTATCTTGCTTTTATAAAAATATATTGCAACTTTTTGTGACATCAAAATTATATAGTACCCGGTTTGTCATATTAGGCAAATGTGCTTGAAAACATGCACATGCACCCACCCACACACACACACACACACATACACGCACACATGCACGCACATACACACGGGACACAGAAAATTAATCTCCTACTTGTTACATGTATCTTATTTTGATTATTTTAATCTCAGTGCAAGACAGGTGATGAGAACTGCTTTCTTTGGACAACGCCAGATCTTCTCGTGTTTCTTATCATGGCTGTTGTTGGTGGCCTTTTGGGGGCGCTGTTCAACCGTATCAACCAATCCCTGACTGAGCAGAGGATGCAGTCTGTGCAGCAGAGAGGCAAAAAGGCCAAGTGAGATCAAATATTTTGATTGAAAGTCTATGCAGAAAGACTATAAAAAATTATGATATTAAGATAACGGTTGAATCCAGTCTTTTTGATTTTTGTGCTGGAATTTAACTTCAACCATTACAGAGTTGTATATAATTTTTATGATTTTATACATATTCATTAGTGTTGAATAAGAAGTATGTACTAGACAAATATATAAAACATTTCTCCTTTAATTGTAAACTACACTAGAATTTTTCCCTCTGTAAGTTGTATTGCTTGTTCTCCCTCAGGATCCTGGAAGCTCTGCTGGTGGCCAGTGTCACCACAACCTTGACCTTCATAGCTGCCATGACACTAGGGACATGCAGTCAAATTATGGTGAGAATTTCAGATAGAGATTGTAAGTTGAGAGGCTGTTTTGTGGTTAATGTATGATAAGGCAAATAGTTAAGTCTAGGTCAAAATTTGGCTCTCAGTGTATCCTTGTAGAGAGAAAACCATATACATTAAATAATGAAGGGATAGAGAATTAATTAGCTGTCCATTGAACCCTCTATTCTCACCTTCCTACTTAATTGAAGTTAAAGTGTGCCACACCTGATGTGATATATTATATTAGGTGTGTCCCAGTTTCTGTATCACCTCTCGGATTATAGTCTAAGGGTGCTTTCCCAGAGATTTAGATCGATCTAAAGATTAAGATTTAGATCGACCTAACTCCCTAGGGGTTCACACTAAATTGCAGTCAGTCGAGCGCGCACCATGGTTAATTACCCCCTTACAGCTTTTAGTAGGCGGGACAGACGCTTAAGCCGGCCAAGCTGACAGTAATCTAGTGAGACTCCCCACAGGGATAGATCGATCTAAAAATCTATGGAAATGGGGTGTAAGAGAATGTCTTTATATAAAACACTGTTTTATTGTACCATTTCTAGATTCCTATCACCACCAATGGCACTAACAGTGGCAGTGAGGGGGTCAGGAAGTTTTTCTGCCCAGACGGGATGTACAATGACATGGCCACGCTGTTCTTTAATTCAGAGGAGATTGCAATCAAGCAGCTTTTTCATCAAGATGGTAAGAGGGCCAGTACTGTACACTTGCACCCACCTAGCACGCACACATACATGTACACACACACACACACACACACACACACACACACACACACACACACACACACACACACACACACACACACACTTATTACATTTTTTTCATCCCACTTCGAATTTGTAACAATTAATATGGGAGCTTTGTTCTTCAAGAAGTACAAGATTGTTGTCAAGACATAAGACATATGTGTGCAAGATAGCATGGCCCATAGGAGCAGGATTAATTCTTTGAAAACACAAAAGAGCTAACTTCTATGGGCCATAATGTATGGTAGTTGAGAGCAGTTTTGTCACTGTGTTAAGTAGTTAGTATACAACGTGTATGCGTGCATGTATACAACGTGTATGTGTGCATTGATAGTGGTTTTTCTACTCTGTAAAGCTCTGTTTGAAGTTAATATGTAATAAATCTTTGTTTTATCAGCTTTGACATTTGTATTGACCTTTAAAGATAATGTGTATTATTGCCTTGATATTACAATTTCAATTGATTTTGTAATCCGTCTTTTTCATCTCTCTCTCCAGGACGTTTTGGCATTTCAACTTTGGGGATCTTCTTTATCTTCTTTTTCTTCCTGGCGTGTTGGACGTATGGCGTGGGGGTGCCCAGTGGTCTGTTTGTTCCCTCACTGCTGTGTGGGGCCTGCTATGGGAGACTTGTAGCTACTGTCCTGGTAGAGTAAGTAGCACAGGATACATTGGTGCCTTTTGAATTATGTATTTGATTATGGTAATAATAATAATGATAATAATAATAATAATTTTATTATGTTGGTTTTATGAATTATTCATAGAAGAGGAAGCAGTGCTGAAAATGGCTAATTCTTGCATTGAATGTAAATATTTCACTTTAATGAAATCAAAGTTTTCAAACTTAAACACCCACAAAAAAAAAAAAAAAAAGAAAGAAAGAAAGAAAGAGAGCAGAAAAAAGAACAAAACGAGTGCCTCTGTAGGTTATCTTAAAGATAAACATTACCTAGCAATGAATTCTGTCATTTTATTTTTTTTTTCAGTTATTTCGAATTTGAACACTCCCACCTTGGCACCTTTGCCTTGGTTGGTGCTGCAGCTTTTCTGGGCGGTGTTGTACGCATGACAATCAGTCTGACTGTTATCATTATAGAAGCCACCAATGAGATTCAGTACAGTCTGCCCATAATGTTGGTCCTTATGGTAAGTAAAGTGTATACTGAAAGGGTTGATAGGCATTTTAGACAAATACTGAAACTGTTTTTTTTTTTTTTTTTTCTCTCAGGTGAGGAATGAGAAAGTGAAGTAGATTTAATCATGTTTAAGTTTACTATTAATTTTATCATCAAAATTTTTAGTCACAAGAGAATTGGTTGTGTGCTAAA